ATTGTGATCTGAGAACATACTTTATATGATTTCTATTTTTAAATTTGTCAGGGCATCTTCTGGGCCAGAAAACATACTTTATTTTGGTGACTGTTCCATACAGGAGAAGACTGTATTTGGTTGTTGTTGGATAGAATGTTCTATACGTGCCATTTAGATCCAGTCGATTGATAGTACTTTTTAGGTCAACTCTATCTTTATTGATTTTCTGCCTGCTTAATCTATCGATTCCTGAAAGATAGGCATTGAAATCCCCAACTATAATAGTCTATTTCTCCTTACAGTTCTATCAGTTTTTAGTACCTGCATCTTGTTGCCCTGTTATTAGATTCACAGATGTTAAGGGCAGTTATGTCATCTTGAAGAATTCACCCCTTTATTATTTAATGCTCCTCTTCATTACTGATATTTTTTTCCTCTTCTGAAGTCTATTCTGTCTGAAATTAATATAGTTAGTCTGGCTTTCTTTTCATTAGTGTTAGCATGGCATATCTTTATTTCTTAAACTCCCCTCCCCACCCCCGCCACCCTTTACTTTTAACCTGAGTCTTAATAAAGTGGGTTTCTTGTGGACAGCTTATAACTGGGCTTTTTTTTCCCATCCATTCTGAAATCTGTCTTTTAGTCAGTGTATTTAGACCATTTACATTTAAAGTGATTATTGATATAGTTGGATTAATATCTACCATATGTTTTCTAGTTATTGTGTTTGGGTTTTAACTGTTTTTCTGCCTTCTGTGGTTTTAATTGGATATTTTATTACATTTTTCTTTACTCTTAGGATAACAGTTATGCTTCTTAAAAAATTTGTTTGTAGTAGTTGCCCTAGAATTTGCAATATACATTTTAAACAAACCTTAAGTCCACCTTCAAATAACGTTACACTGCTTCTCATGAAGCAAGGTATCTTATTTTCAGGTTCTCCCTCTCATCCTGCCTTTCCTATCATCCAGTTCACTTCTTTGTATGCAGTAATCACTCAATGCATTTTTACTATTTTAAACATTTATCTTTTAGATCAATTAATTCTTAGAGTTTTCATCTCTCCGCTTACATTACCTGTCTGTTCTTACATATTGCCTACCTTTTTCATTGGACCCCTTAACCTACTAATCATAGTTATTTGAAATTTTTTGTCTGATAATTCTAGGATCTGTGCCATGTATGAGACTCATTTAATGCTTGCTTTGTCTCTTCAGACTGCGTTATTTCTCATCTTTCAGTTTTTGTTTCTTTATTGAAAGCCAGACATGATGCATCAGGTAGTAAGAAATGAAGAAATGGTTCTTTAGTGTGAGTTTTATGCTGTTCTGACTATGACTTGGGCTGTGTTTAATATTTGCTGTGGGGCCAGAGGTTTTAGATTCCTCAGGTACCCTTGTCTTGGTCCCCCATTTGTCTTTGGGTTTTTTAAAGAGCATTTTCTCAGAGGGAGTCTGGCAGCCCTTTCAGCTGTCATCCACAGCCATTACTCTGGAGCCTGTAGCCACAGTGGTAAAGTGTAGGGGAGGGGAAGCGTCCTGTGGTCAGTGAATCTCAGTCTGTAATGGGCCTGTGTCTCTGGGCTGTGCCCTTCACAGTGTTTCTTAGCTGCCCCCAACCCCACCTCCTTAGGAGGCTAGAGGGGCTTGGAGTCTGAGAAACATCCTTCCCGCAGCTAGGCTAGGCTCTGGGAAGTCTTTCCCTTAGGGAGTGGGCCCTTGTTATAGAGAATGCTCTGAGCATAGTGCATGGTGATGACGCCACCAGGGGATCTTCATTGGCTTTTCATAATGAGAACCCAGTGTGGTTCCTAGGGATAGACTTGTGCAATTTTGGGGGCCCCCAAGGCTCTTGTTGTCAGGAGTTTCCCACTCATGCTAGTCTACACGCAGCTCCTAGCACCGTTTAAGTGTTCCTACCAGTTCCTACTGGCTCCAGTGGCTTCCGTTCCAAGTAGGCCAGTCTCAGCTGTGACTATGGACTCTCCAGTTTCTCCAGATTTTAGGGTTATGTTTTGACCTGTGACCTCAGTTCTCTGATGGGTCTAAGACAAGTCATTGATTTTCAATTTGCTCAGCTTTTTCTTGTTAGGATGAGAGTGGACAACTCCCAAGCCCCTATGTGTTAGAGCTGAAACCAGAAGTCCCCTTGTTGCTTTTTAATTGCTGCCTTCCCGACCTTCCCACCAGTTGAAGGGGTTGGATTGCTCAGATGTGTTGGCATAAAACATCCTTATCATTGCAAAAGCTCCTGGGTCTCTACTCTTTCCAATCAAAATATCTCTACTCTTTCCAATCAAAAAGACTGTGTTGTGGCTGCTCTACTGCCTTCTTTTGTTGCTCGGATTTTTCTTTTTACCAAACTAGATATGGATTCTATCACAGATCTCTTAATTTTTGTGGCAGTGCCAAGTGTATGTGTGTGGGATGGGTGGGGGTTTTATAGCCCCTTTCTAATTCCCATCAGCTTCCCTCATCTCTCCCACCCCCAATCTTTGATAGACAAACATGTTTTATCAGTCTGATACAAATGCATCTTTAACCTTACTCTTGCCCCCCCACCCATGTTTTTAACCACAATTGCTGCTAAGCTGCTGCTCAGATTCCATAGTAAAGTAGTAGACCCTTTATCCAGCAGTCAGCTTTCAGACCCTCTGTTATCTGTAATTTAGGAGCAAACCAGTAAGGAGGCAAAAACTGAGCCACCTAAGGAATAATTGCTATAAAAACCCATGTACCCTTTCTTCCTTCTTCCCCTAAAATCAATGAGTGGGACAGATCAAGGTTGTTGTGGTACATGGGGTATTTGGGCAGTCAAAGCTTGGATAGCATGAGGAGGACATCTGCCAGGGAGGGAATGGTGGTAGCAGCAGGTACATTGATAAGTGAATATATTAAGGATGATGGAAGTTAGAATTTCTCCGTGTTGGAGAAAGGAGTCGAAAATATGGAAAGAAACTAGAACAAACACTGGTATTGTATCGCAATTGAAAGTACTAGATCGCAATTGGACGTTAACTCAGTTTTTGTACAGATAGATGTATATAAAAAGAAAAATAGGTAACATGTCAACAAATGTGTGTATAAATATGTTTACGCATACATATGCATACATATATGCAGACAGACATATTGTCCCCAGCTCTGTCCACTGAGAAGTTCTTGGAGAGTACCTTGTTAGCAATGAGCCTACCTGGACTCCTTGGAGAAATGGCTGATTCCAAGGCTGGAACAAGAAAAGTACAAGATGAACTTTGATTATTTTATTGTTCCTGAAAGTACAAAATGATGGAGATATGTCAAAAGGACACAGAAGCCAGCTTAAAGGGGCTTCCACTGGCCCAAATCTGAGACAGTTTGAGCATCAAAATAATTATAGTGGATTATAACCCATTAAATAAAATAGGAAAACGTGAAACCATACTTGTATAAATAATTGAATAAATTGAAAATTTGAGGAATGGGAAATCTACAGTTTCAAAGTATCTCTCTTCAGAATACTTGTTACTTACAAAGGGAAAAAGGGCTAACCTCACAGTGCAGCTTTTCAAACACTGTCTTAATCAAGTGAGCAAAGGGAACTTTACCAGTAATAGGACAAAATCAACATCATTTGCCACCTGGTGGGGTGTGATGAAAAGGATGCAACATCACTTCTGTGATTTTTGCCAGAGATAACCTGAATTAAATTATGATCTAATTGTGCTGGAATAGCAGACAAATACAAACTGGGAGACATTCTACAGAAACATTGGCCTGTAATTTTTAAAAGCATCATGGAAGTCAAAGATTGAGAAATGTCTATATACTCAGATGGACCAAAGAGACATGACAACTAAATGCAATATGTGATTCCGAACTGGATCCATTGTAGCAAAAAGACATCACTGGGATATTTTGTAACATTTGAATGGGATCTGAGGATTCGAGGGTAGGAATTTATCTTAATTTTTTGACATTGGTGGTTGTACTGTGGTTATATAGGAGGATGTCCAAGCTTTTATGAAACATAACTACAGTATTTGGGGATTTAGGGTATTAATCAGTAGCTTATTCTCTAATGATTCAACTTAATGTTTGAGGTTGTTAAAAACAAAAGTATGTATATTAGTTGCTCAGGAGACTTGTGGCCATAACTTAGGGCTTATTTATTGCGGAGCAATTATATGTAAAGTGAGAAGCTTAATCCTCTCAGCCGTCTTGGTTCCCAGGCAGTGGAAGATTATGGAAGAACCAATGCTGCATTTTATTTATTTTTGGTCTGCTGTTGAATCATGATGCCTTCCTTAAAATGATAAGCGGTTACGCTTATCATTGCATGTGGTCTGTGAAGGACTTCAATGTGTTTTCTTATTGGCTTCCCACAGTGCCCTTCTGGTAGACAGGTCTTCTTCCACCTTTGAGATGATGACAAAATAACAATGATGGGCCATGCTTACATAGTACTTTTTACGGCCAGGTAGTAATCTAAGCACTTTGAATGCTGAATACATTCACTCATTTAATTCTCAGTTAGCCAATGAGGTAGGTATACTGTGATCATTCCATTTTACAAATAAGGGAATCGGAGCACAGAGAGGTTAAGTAAGTTGCCCAAGGTCACACAGCTTGAAAGTGGTGGAGCAGAGATTCAAGTCAGACATTCTGACTCCAGATCTGTGCCTCTCCTATCGAGACCCTGAGGAATGCTAACAATTAGCTATGTTAAGTGGCTTGTCCAGGCCCCTTGTTCATTTCTTCACTGGTTCTGCAAATCTGCTGAGTGCCTAGAAGTGCCAGACTCTGTTCCAAATTCTGGGAAAGGAATACAAGGCAGCCAGAGCCCTGGGCCCCATGGAGCTCGGCTTTTATGGGTGTGGTTGGGGGGCGGAGGGGCGGGGGTATGTGTGGAAGAACCGGCCAGCAGCAGTGTGGCGTCCAGACACCTCACTGCCCTTGTACAGGGAGTAGTGCTACAGTTGGGCTGCTTGGCCAGGTCAGTCCCTGTGCTCAGACATACGCTTTCTTTCTCTTTTGAAGGTCGCCTGGTAGGCGCTCTGGATGCGGTGCTGGACTCCAATGCACGGGTGGCTCCATTTCGAATTCTGCTCCAAGTTCCCGGGTCCCAGGTTTATTCTCCCATAGCATGTGGTGAGTTACTGAGTGGATCAGACGTTTACTGGGCCATAGCCACGGGTGAGTTTTGTTTCAGTTGGAATTTCCAAACCTTAATGTCTGAGCACACTGCGTACCTGCATGCTGGTGGAGCTTGAAGGTAACTCCTTTTAGAACCTCATCTGCTTTTCTGAGCTGTTCTTTAACCGTCAAAAGCATATAATGGCAATAAGTGTAGACAACTTAGCTGGAGCTTGACAGGCTTTTGAGTGGTGTGTTGTCTCATGCTGCTGTATCCTGAGTATGTATTGAGCCAAACATACTGTCCAAGCCTTACATTTTCTTAATCTTGTGTCTGACACAACAAACGTGTTCTTGGGTGTGCATACCTATTATAATGGGGGAAATGTTAGAGGCTGTGTCTGATGTGGGGCAGCCTTCATCTCCTGTTCCACATATGCACCAAGAGAATCACTGGGCTGCTGTGCCCTATGGGAATTCAGGGATCACCTTCTCATTCTGTCCACCTGAGGCTCAGCCCCTCCTGTAGGCACCAGCCAGTTTTCCTCTCACCACTCAGGCATCTCTGGGGCTGGCAGCCCTTACATTCTGAGAAGTCTCTTGTATTAAAAACCAAAACCAAGAGGTGACTTTTTAATTACACAAGTAATAAATGTTCACCATTTACCTTTAGAAATTAAAAAATAGGTAAGAGAAGGAAAAAGGTCACCTATAATCCTTTATCCAGGACGAATCACTCTTCTAATACACATAGTTTTTTGGTTTTGCCTTTTCTCTTAACAGTTTACAAGCTACCATACATAGACTTTCAACATCACCTCTCATTCTTTAACAACGTTGCTTTGTTTTGTTTTGTTTTTCCCCTGGGAAAAATACAAGAGTACAAAGAAGAAAATTGTCATCCATATCAACCATCCAATACTAACTGCTGTTAACATCTTGGCATGTTTTTTTTTCCCAGCCCGTTTTGTTTTTATAAATTAAGATGAACCAGCTTGTATTTGCATAAAATGATAAAAACGGTGCATGCTCAAAATAAAGACATTAATTAACATTGAAAGGTGCAAAGAAGAAATTATCTTTGGTCCCACATCCTAGCCACCCCAGGTGACCTCTAGTCACTGGGCTCACATCATCCTGGATGACTATAATTCATTTAGACAGGTACAAGGATAGTTATGAAGGATAGAAATATAAAAATACGACTTTTCTGACTGCTGTTTTCTAATAAAAGTATTCAGTTTTTACTTGATTTCAATAGGAAAAGAAGCTGTAGTGAAACTAAACTGCAAATGTTTCTTTAACAAAAGAGAGCTTATTTTCTAAAAGGTTCACTTAAGGTTAAGGGAAGCAATTTTTGAAAGCATTACAAGGTTAGAATTGTGTCTTTTTAAAACAGTGTTTCAATTCTGATGTTTATTGATTTCTCATCCTCAAGGACAGGGAAACAAGCGTTCTTATTCTTACCCTACTTCTCTAATCTCTTTAAAAAGTTTCATTATTAATTTTACATTGTAATTCCTGTTTTGTAACTTTGCTTTCCATCGTTGTTTGGCTCTGTTCTCTATTTAGATTAATTTAATGCTTCTACTCAGGTATGACTTTCCCAATGTAGAATCTTTTATTTTGGCTCATCTTTTAATTGACTACATTCCTGTTTTCTTCCCTCCAAAGTGACTCACATTTGCACATGTTTGTCCCTTGCTCTTGGACTTGAATGACACCTTGGCTGAGTATGATAGTCCATGGCCATACTCTAGAGCTTGGTGGCTGTTGCTCTGGGATCTTTCAGTATTTAATGTGGCAGTGGGAAAAATCTCAGGCCGATCTGATCCCCCTTCCCCTTTTGAGTGATGTGATTTTTGTGCATATAACTGTCTTTATTGTTGAAGTTTAGTAACATGGTTACAATTTGTTACTGCCTTGAGCACATTGTGTTAAATTTTTCTTGAACTTGATGTGCTCTCTCCACATGCAGATTGATGAATCGTTTTAGGAAATTTTCATATTCTGTATATGTATTTTTAAAAGTGCATTTATGTTCTATTTATTGCATTTTCTACATCAAGAACACTTTATGTTGGACAGCTGTGGTTTGTTTGCTTTTCATTTCTGTCTGATTATCTGCCTTTTTCAACTGCACTCTCCATGCCGTTCCTCTTTCCTCTAAGTAAAAAATTCCAATGTATTCCATACTTTGCTGCTTTGAACTTATTTACCGATTTTTTGTTTGTTTTGATCCTCTATTCATTTCCTGAGGTTTCCAATCTCCCTCTCACCTCTATTATTTCACCATCTCATCTCTGAGCTCTTGTTTTATTCATGTTTTTATTGTGGGAGCATGAATCCTTCGTGAGAATTTCCTTTGCTTCTCTGAGTGTTCCATTTTCTTCTAGGACAGAATCTCTCTTTTGAACACCTCATTCTCATTTGTTCTTCTGTGCTGTCCAGTATCTTGCTTAGCTGTGTTTCTCCTCATCTTGTTCATGCTCAGACATAGTTACCTCAGACCAGCGCTATGTTATTTGCACTAACATAGTGAGTGTGACTTTTTAACTTGCATTTTGGGGACAGCAGAGAGGACTGGTGTGCTGCTGGGCATGGGATATGATGGCAGAGCCCTGTTCCTTTTTCTCCCCTGTTTCTCTCCTCTCTCTTTGCCCAGGCAAAACGACTTGGTTTCGCTCTGAATTTGAGGCTTTTGATGGGGATATTTGGATTTTTTTCTCACTAGACTGGCTTCTGGGGAGTTGGCAGGGTTGGAACTCTGCTCAGTTCCTGAACTGTTTTATCCTTGATGCTGACAGTAGCCAGTTGGGCCCTGGGAGGACCTTGAAACTACAGCGATACAATATAATAGCTACACAGCATTCAGCCTTATAGTCGTAGCCTAATTTACTCATTCACTCTTTCTGATTTTTAAAAGGGTTTTAAAAACTTAAATGGGCGTTATACTTAAAGATTCCAGGACACTCACAATCCCCGCAGTCGATTTATTTGAAGCGTTTGATGCTTGCCACGCACCAGACATGTGTTTGGTGTTGGGTGTGAAGAGGCGGGGTGGTCTCCTTCCATCTGGCTTTCCAGGGCCATGAGGAATACAGATAGCAACCTAGCAATGGCAAGTACAGGTGGAGCAAGGATTAGGAAAGCAAGACAGGACAGGACTCACGAAAAGCACATGATAAAGAATTGCTGCATCAAAGGGTATATATTTGGAATGGCATATATATCTCTCTTCAAATCGCCTGCCATCACAGCTGTAGCGGCTTACACTGGCTCCCCACACCCCACCAGAGTAGTCATCCTGAGCAGATTTCACTCCTAAACCATTCTTTCTGTTGAACCAAGATCTACTACCTTTAATTTCCACTTGGCTAGACATTTGCCTTGGACCTGAACCATGGCAGGTCTATAGATGCTTCACTTTCTTTTTCATATTGGCCAGAGAATGTCCCCCAAGTAAGCAATTGTACTCTTCAGTGCAGTTTTTCTTGGGTTAAGGAAGAGAAAATGGTGAGGGTATTTGTTTCTGGGGCTTATAGTATTGATTTAGATACTTAGGCCTATTTGGGGAGTACTCGGGCTTCTTACAGTGTGTTATTGACTCACCATATTTAATATTTTATTGTGTCTTGAGCATTGAGAAAGGATTCCTGCTCAGGATTTCAGGTCTCAGATAGAGCACAAACAAGAACAGTAGAAAGGGCCTGGGTGGCACCAAGACGTGGGCAGGGACAGGAAGAGTGGCCTGCAAGAATGATTTATATCTTCATTGGATTTTGGCTGCTCGCACAACAGTATGGGGAGACATAGAGGCTTGAGAACGTTTTTCCCAGTTTCTTTATAAGCAGAAGTGGAAGAGATGGGTGGATAATGTCATGGGTAAACAATATTATTATTTGGAAACAGAGATCTGTGAATGACTGGTTGGAAGCAGACAAGAGAAAAGTTGCTATTATTTGTTTAACTTACGTGGACCAAAGACTCCGAAGGCTTTATAAACATGGCTTCGGTGGCCAACAGATATCGAGAGATTATCTATGAGTACATGTGAGAGGGTGGACAGAGGAATGTGCCCTGTCATTCAGGTCAGGACCCAGACGTCCCCACCTCAGACAGGCCACCCCTCACACCCTGCCGATTGTTTTCTCTGTTCTGGCACCCGAGTCTCTCCGGTACTTATCACTCCTATCATTTCCTGTTTTGTTTTTTTTTGTTTGTTTGTTTTTTGGTTTTTGGGGGGGCTTGTCTCCCTCCTGAAAATAAGTTGCCTCATAGTCATGTTCACCGCTGACCCTCCAGTGCCCAGGAAAGAGCAGGTGAGCAAATGAGCAGTGAAGTGTGTGGACAATAAGGGCCGGACTTCTGTATAGTTGGAGGGGAGGTGGTGTGTGGGATCACAATGACAACTTGAGCCCTTTTGGAGGAGCAGCGTGGGGTATTCCAGGGGTGGGCAGTGGCCTGGGTCTGAAGCTCTGTACTCAGCTGCCAGGATCATTGAGCAGTAGAAAAACTTGTAAAACAGGGGTCTTGCTTTCTTTTCTAAAAAAAATTTTTATTGTGGTAAAATTCACATAACAAAATTTACCATCTTAACCATTTTTAAGTGTTCAGTTCAGTGGCATTAACTACATTCACACATGATCCATCTCCAGGACTTTTTTCATCTTCTCAAGCTGAAACTCTGAGACTCCCTATTGCCCCTCCTCCAGCTTCGGAAACCACCATTCTACTTCCTTTATGAGTCTGACTACTCTAAGGACCTCATGTAAGGGGAGTCAACACAGTATTTGTCCTTTGGTCTCTGGCTATTTCACTCAGCATAATATCCTAAAGGTTTATCCACATTGCAGTATGTGTCAGTTTCATTCCTTATAAGGCCAAATAGTAATCTATTGCATGTCTGCTTTCTTTTCGAAATCAGATCTATGATGATTGGTGCACAAGTAGAAACCAAGGACATAGTGTATGGAACCAGGAGAGTTGAATCCCAGGAGATAATTTCTAATCATGGTCAGAAGAGGGAGAAACCAGGTGGGGATTAGAGGCCCAGGGCT